AAACCACTGAACTTGTTCAAATGCAACTCGTCTCTTCATATGATTTTCCTGTTCGTTTTGGTAGAAATAAAAATGCTTTCGGTTTTTGTTTTATTTTGTTTTTGTTTTTAGTGTCCCAGAAAAATAAATAACAAATTGAGACCATTTTTTTAGTACTTATTGAAAAGATGTTTTTGAGACTTATGTCTTAGTCTTTGCTGTCCCTGTAAGAATCTCTGCAGGTAGAAACAGGTATGATGTTTGCCAGCACCTTCCCATCTGTTCCCTGGGAAGTCTTGAGAGTAGCCCTGGGCCCTTCTGCCCTCAGGCTGTCAGCTAGTTTTTTGTGCTGAAATTTAACTTGCCTTATTTCTATCTATTCAGCTTGGGTGCATCTTTAAACGAACTTAATGTAGGTATTTATTTTGATTTATATAAGGTCCAGTGCAAAACCTCTATCATAGTCTGATGTGGTTTGCTGTCTGGTTTAGCCATAATAGCACCTGGATTCAGAGAAAACTCCAAGCTCTGGGTTTATGCGGATCATATCACAGTAGTCTGAGAGTGTTTTAACTGGGTTCTTTGCGTGTTTGAAGTTCTTGTTTGGAGATGGGCGAAGTACTGGCAAAAGGAGGTGCTTGCTGCTGTGTGGATTTGAAGCAGTCTCCACCACTGAAAGGCTTCTTGTGACTGTCATTTGAAGATAATGTCTAGCCATCTCTACTTATAATTTATCTTCTAACTTCAAAATGTACTGATTTCTGTGGGTATCAGTGTGGAGGACACATAACCCAGGTCATGACATCTGAATAAAATTTTTCCTTCATTGTCCTTAGAAATGTGTTTCCATTTATCGACTACTCTCATCTTGGTTTAGGGGATTAAACAAAATTCAAGTGTTTAGAACATTAAGACTGAGCCTCTTTGTGGCTTCACCCAGAGCAAAAGTAAGCAGTGTATCAGTGATGAATCAGGGTGCCTCTGTCATTTTCTTCCTTTTTACATAAAATTTAGTAAGGGCCAGGAGCTTTTTAACCTAGAGATTTAAGCACCTCCCCTGGCAAATGTGAGGTTGTGAGTTCAATCCCTGATATCAAAAAAAGAACAAAACACTTTCCAACATACTCAGAATATTATCAATTCAATATGATACACACACACATGCAGAAATACTTTAGAATTTTTATTTTTGTGGTGCTAGGGATTGAACCCAGGGTCTTGATCATGATAGGCAAGTATCCTACCCTGAGCTACACTCCCACCCCAAGATAAAAATTACTAACTTTGAAAGTCTTCAAGATTCAGGTTATATTTTATACTTATAGCATATCTCATTTTGGTTTTGTCTTTTGAGATTTTGTTTTGTTTTTGTAGTATCTTCAGCCCTTTTTTTATTTTTTGTTGGCAACAGGGTCTCACAGAGTCACTGAATTGCCTAGGCTAGGCTTGAATTTAGGACATTCCTGCATCAGCCTCCCAAACTGCTGGGATTACATGTGTGTTCCACTGTGCCCAAGAGCATATTTGATTGTGGACTGGCCATACTTCAGCTACATGTGGCTGGTGGCTACTGCTTTGGTCTGAGCAGCTCTGTGATATCTGGAAGAGCAGGTATGGGGTTTATGGGGTTCAGAGCACCAACTCAGGGGCTGGGGAAAAATCTTACACTAGTGCCAGTTACTGGAGAAACTGTCTTTTATAGGCCATTGGTGGCCCTCAGGAACCCTGTGAGTGCTGAGGGTATGGTCCTTAGAGGTTCCTTCCACTTTTGGACTTCCCTCTCATACTATCCCTGTGACCTTTTGGGAACCAGATTCTGTCAGTGGAGAGTTGAACCTTGCCTGTCATTTTTTCAACTCCTTTGCACAAAATTTTTTCATGCTGGACATCAAATCCAGGACTTGGTACATGCTGAATATTCAGTCTGTCACAGAGCCACATGTTCTTTAGCCCCTCTTCATTCATGTTATGATTTAGATCTAAAATGGTTTAGACCCAGAAGTCTCCTCTATTCAGAGGGGGGCTTTGGGGAGGTGACTGGACCATGACAGTGTTACGGTTATCCATTATGTTTTGCTTACATATGATGAGTTTATGGCTAATTGTGCTGTTGGCAGGTGAGACTTGGTTGCAGGTAGGTCCCTGTGGGCATGACTGTGTATTCTTGTCCCTCCTGCTCTCTTCTCTCTCCACCATAGAGTGAGAAGCTTTCCTCCCCCATGCTCCTCTGCCGTGCTGCTTCTGCCTTGGAGCCAGTCAACCATGCCTGCACTGAACCCATTGAAACTCAACAGGTACACCTTCGTCTCCCTTAAGGTGCAAGTGTTGGGCATTTTGTATACCAAGTTTCAGAGAGCAAAGCATTTGAAAAGCTTGATGGATACTTACTTCACTATTGAGCACTTAAATCCCACTCTTCTCCCATACATTGACATTAACTTCAGTGTCAGATAGAATTTGATCACTTCATTTCTTTACTAATTATAATAAATGCCATTAGCAGCCCAGTTGTCAGCAATAACTGTATAACAGTTGGTAATAACTGTATATGTTGTAAAGCTGTGGAAAGTCTGTAAAAACAGTGCCCAATAGTAAATTTTAAGGGTGTCTTCCCAATCCAAATGGAATTTAGACAATCCTACATGTGTGAGTGAGCAACATAAGTTAGTTGGGAGAGAGAAAAGAATATTTCCTGCCTAAAGGGTTCAGCACAGAATTTTGTGAAAAGGCCAGCCTCTTGGGTCATGTGAACTGGATGTCATTTCGGGTCTCCTGGGCAGTGGTGACCAGTATCTCTCTCCTGATCCTCTTTCCCTTTCTGAGCCCCACTTCTTCTTTGTGCACTCTGCTCTCTGATGGCCGGCCAGCCAGCTGCGTTCTGGTAGAGTCCCAGTACAGATAGCGCATCACCACACATCACTTGATGGATGAAAATGAAGTCAGAAACCTGGCACTATGAGTTAATGTTTTGTCTCCTCTGTGGTCCTACTTTATTGTGCCAGTAGCATTCTGCTTCTGAGGGAGGAAGCACTGCGGGTTCCACTACCACAGGCCAGGCCCCAAAACTATTCTGTGGGCTGCAGTTGCTGGATATTGTGGTCTCTGATAGGCTTTGCTTAGAGGTATGAAGAGTCTAGAGAACCTGGAAAAGCCACTCTACAGCTTCCACATTCATCTAAAGCTGCTAACTCAAGTGTGAAGTGTGGTAAGTTATTGAGACGTTTACATTGGTATAGTACATTATTGAGAATTTTATGTTGTCTTAAGTCGTAGTTATAACATGTATAATTAATGAAGCCAACCTTTTGTATCAATGCAGAGGAGCCAGCAATGTAAACCTTTTCTACACCAAGGCCAGGAAACCTGAAACCCAGCCTTTCACCTCACCCAGCTGTCACTCTGCTCTTGCCCTTTCTCTGAGTATCAGAAAGTGCTTACCGAGACTGGCCTGGGGCTCAGCTTCCTCTGAGGTCTACAGTGGGCCCAGGTGGTCCCTTGCAGCCGCTTGCGCTCCCAAACCCTTGCTGCATTTTCTCTCAAGCTATTTCGTGGCATGGGCTTTATTTATTTTATCTCTTTTTAAAAATAAAGTTTACACAGTCCATCAAAATGACTAACATACACATTACTATTTTTTTAGTTTGCGCAAATTTATTAAAATTGACGTGTGTAATCTCCTCTTCAGTGAACATCTAGAGCATAATGCCGATACACAGGTGAATCTTGGTCACAGATTTTTTGAAGAATATGTTTGTGCTGTGTGGTGTTGATTTATCAGTTTGAAATAGTTTTGTTGACTTCCTGATCTCTCCCACTCTTCTTTATTGGAGATTTATCGTTAAAATTCTTTGTAGCCAAACAAAGAGAAATAAAGTAGAGACCCTCATCCTCCTTGCTGGCTTGGTGTCTTGTCACAAGGCCAGAGTTGTCTGCACTGGCCTATTCTTGACTCCTATCTACAACTCAGCACAACCTTTAACCAAAGCAGTGCTCAGAACGTTGTGCTGCTCATGTAATGTAAATGCTACACTTGAGAACCCAAGGTGAGTGCGAGGCTCTGACTCCAGACTCTGTTTCAGTTCCCTGTGCATGGTCTCTTTCCCCCCTCGCTTCTTACTGAGAGGCACTGGTAGAGGTTGTTCCCCTTAGGCTTTCTTTTTTTGTGTTTTCCTGGATATTCTTGCATGCCCCCCCCACCACCACCACCACCACATGGACTAAAGTAGCAGCTTGTATAATTCTATAGAACAGCTCATTGGGAAACTGACTGGGACAGCATCGGATGTGTGACTGAGCCTGGGGAAGCCTGGCATCTTCAGAATGTTGAGTGTCCTACCCTGGCAGGAACACTTTTCTGTTTGTTCAAGTGTTTTATGTTTTCCAGGAGAGTGTTGACAAGTTCTCACTACATTTTGTACATTTCTTCTTAAGCTTATTCCTACATATTTAATCTTTCTGTTGCTTTATTAATGTGGTTTCCTTTGCCACAATATCCTCCTTTTATAGATTGTATATATAAAGATTCCTGAGTTTTGTATGTAATTTCAGGTCTTGGTAATTTGGTGCTTCCTGAACTCTGGTCAATGAAAGTCCAGTTGAGGAATAGGGTGTTTTGAGCAGATGAGGGCAGGAATCTCCTTCCTAGCTCTGCCTCTGCTGCTGTGTGTGCTACAGGTCCCATCGGATTGCTTGTCTCTGTCTTGTGTTCCAGAAATGTGTCCAGAGGGATTTCCTACTTCTGAGAAATACCCAGTATCAGCATGGCAGCTGCCTTGGACCTGGACTGCTGCACAGCAGGCCTTTGGTCTTTGTCATGGTTCACAGTAAATATGTGTTGAGTGGGTGAGGAGCAGGCTCTCAGCATGGTCCCGTGAGGTAGCTCTGTTCACTTCCCTACGTGCAGAAGCTTGGGGTCACATGTGCAGAGCCAGCTGCTAACTAAAGACTTGGGGTGCAGGAGGAGGATGCCTTCTAGCTGTTCCGTGCCCATGACATGCATCTCATTTCTTCTTCTACCACAGGCCCGGTATAAGCAGAGCCTGGACCCTACTGTGGATGAAGTCAAGAAACTGTGCACATCACTGCGCCGGAACGCCAAGGAGGAACGTGTCCTTTTCCACTACAATGGCCATGGGGTGCCCAGGCCCACAGTGAACGGCGAGGTCTGGGTCTTCAACAAGGTGGGCCCACCTTCAGCATCCCACTCTGCTCCTGCCCGTAGGCCACTCAGCTGGGTGCTCAGCTGAGACACAGCTCACCTGTAGCTCCACTAAACCTCGAATATTTCATTCATTCAGCAGCCCAGAGAGCAGGAAGGTAGCCTGGGATGCAGAGTCAGTTTTCTGCTGAAAGTTAGTGAGACCAACCTTTGTGTTGGTGATACAAGCTGAGAAATAATCAGGCACGGAGGCCAGTTTTGGAGGACGCACTGTCAAAAGGTCCAAACCACAGCATGAGTAGATGGCAGTGTGCTCTGAGTATGAGGATCTGTTGGTAGATCTCTGAGTAGAGGCCTTGAGAGTACCTACCTCCAGTCAATAAACAGTTTTGTTAGATGCTTTTCTTCAGTGATCTTAGAAAACAAGATACTCTGGGTATTCTAAAGAGCTCAGTCCTGGCCACTCTGCAGAGAAGCTGCAGCCTTTTCAGAGGCCAAATGGCCAGCCAGAGACAAGACCTTGCTGCAATGTTGGCTAGTAGAGACCTGGAGGAAGCTTCCAGGGCCATGCAGACTCAGTGAGCAGGGTAATTTTGAGGGCAGTAGTCCCAGCCTTCTCTTAGAGCGGGACCATTTCACCTATAGATGTCTAGGAGCTAACTCTTTTGTAATTAAATATTAAGTAAATTTAAAACTATTATTATGACAAAAAGTAGAATTTAAAGAAACAGGACATGAGGAATGGCCACCGATCTGCCGCCATTTCAGGAAGAGAAGTGTCCCAAAGTCTTTGCATGCCTCCGTGGCCTCCTTTCCTCTATGACTGTCCAGAGAATCTGGACCTTCTTGTCACTGTGTTCTCCCTGATAGATCCTTACACGTGTTTGGAATGCATAGACCATGGGTCTGGGTGCCTCTGTGGGTGAAAGGGACTACCATTCACCAGCGGGCAGAAATTCTGTGTGTGTTTGTTTCATCCGGTCTTCTGTACACTCACCCCTTGTCACATGGCAGCTGGATGACTTCGTCCTGCAGTGTGTGGGCCCTGGCATACCTGTACCCTCTCAATGCCTTCTGTGCAGGGGGACATTGATGGGTACCATATTTGTACTGTTCCAAGTGGCACAAGTGTTTCAGATGCCATCTTCCTCACTGAGTACTGCTAGAAATTGTTTTCTATTTTTACCAGTTGGTGAGCATAGCAAAGATAGATTATATTGAAATCTATCTTGTTGAAGATGAGCACATTTTGATTTACATGCTGGCCGCATAGGCTTCCTCTTCTGCAAAGCACCCAGGCCCTATTGTGTCCCCCCCATCCCCATGGTGCTGAGGATCCTGTTTGTTTTCCATTGGACTGTTTGCCTTTTTCTTACCCATTTGAGGAGATTTTTTATATTTTGGACAGTAACTCAGCATTCTTATGAATTGTGCATGTCTTCTCTCTGTATTTATGACCTGTTTAGTTTTTTCCTATTATTTTTATGATGTCCCTTGATGTACAGAACTTTGTTTATTCTGAAATGGTCACAATTATCACTCTCTCAGTGATGGTGCAAACTTCTTATTCCTTATTTAAAATGACTTTCTGTGGAGGTTATAGAAATATTTTGCTGCAAGTTCTCCTAATGTTTTCTTTTATTTAGATTTTTTAAATTTCTTGAAACTGATTGTTTATATATAGAGTGAGAGATAGGAGGTTCAAATTCAGGGTTGTAAGTTAACTTATTCCATTACCATTATTGTCAGCTTTGAACTAAATCCTGCACCCATATTGTGTGTTGTGTTTCTGAGCTTTCTGTTCAGCATCAGCATGAGGAGTCTGGGTTTTCAATACTCTTGGTTTTAGGGAAGGTGAGCAACCCTCTGTTCTCTTGATGGTGGTTTGGCTAGTCTTGGCCCTTTAATCTGTGAAAATATTGAATCCATTATGTTCAGTTCCATGAGAATACCTTTTAGAACTGTATGCATCAGTAATTATTGTAAGAGAGTAAACATTACAGTGTTGTCTTCCAAACCATTGTGTTGCCTAAGCTAGTCTCAAATTCACTCTAGTGATCCTCCCATCTCAGAGTCTTGAGAAGCAGGGACTACAGGCATGTTACTGCCATGCCCAGAAAACCATGTTTTTAAAAATGTTTGTCAATATAGTTTTATAATTTTCTTCATAATGTTTATATTTCTGACTTTCTCAATGGAGTATATGTAAAGATAAATGACTTTTATACACATATGTTATATATACCAGTATCACCAACCTCTCTTATTGATTCTAATAACTTAACAGTGCATATTCTTGGATTTTCTTAATAATCGGATAGTGAGTGTTTCACTTCTTCCTTTCCAGTTTGTGCCTTTGTCTTCCTGCCCTCTCCAGAGACTGAGGGGGCATCTGGGTGCATCTGTGTTTCCTTTGTCATTTTTGACTAGAGCTTTGTATTTTATTACATGGTGTTCTTGTAGGCTGTTTGTTTTTTTTGTCTTTTTCGGTTTTTATCGGTACCAGGGATCGAACTCATGACCAGCTGCTTGCAAGGCAGATGCTTATGCCACTGAGCTAAATCCCCAGCCCCTCATGTAGGCTGTTTTGAGAGGGCAAATCACTCTTTATCGAATTAAGAAAGTGCTATTCCTACTTTTGATTTCTCTCCCCCCCCCCACTTTGATTTCTTTCATTTTGTTTTGTTTTGGTTTTGTTTTTTGAGACAAGGTCTTGCTGTGTAGTTCAGACTGGTTTTGAACTCACTATGCAGTCCAGGCTGGCCTCAAACTTGTAACAGTCCTGCCTCAGCCTCCCAAGTGTTAGAATTACAGTAGTGTACCACTGCATCTGGCTTGATTTCTTTCTCTTTCTTTTCTTTTTCCTTTCTTTCTCTTTCTCTCTTGTCTTTCTTTCACTTCAGCTGCTGTTTATTAACACACAAATGGGCTGTATAGCAATGGTGGGCTGAGTGTGCAAGTGGACACAGGTCCTGGGGAGACCAAGGTGATGGGAGGAGGAGTGTGGCCAGGGATCAGTTAGGGTCAAGGCCAGAGTCTGGCACTCAGGATCCACTGTCCCATGTCCTCAGCCCCATGCTGGCTGCCACAGCTGGGTTCTCTGGAAACTGCTTCCCACAGGAACTGAAGAGGACACACCAAGAAGACAAAGTTGCTGCCTACCTGCAGCCAGCTCTGGGGCCTTTTTTCTCGAAGTCCCTTGCTGGTGCAGGAACAAATCCCAGGCTGCTAGCCCTAGTCCACTGCACTAGAGGAGGTGCCAATCACAGAGACACAATCGTCCCACATGTCCCAGCCCACCAGTGCAGCACTATGGGCGTTGCCAGCCTAATGGATGGGTGGGAGGAAGCAGTCAGGGAAGGGATCAGAGAGGAGCTCCAGAGCCTTCGTGGCACAGGCACCACATGCATAATATTGGTGAAACTGGAGCCGGGGTGCCACCCAGTCAGCACAGTGACCACATCTTCCATCTTGAGGAAGCCTCAAGCCTGGCTGATGTGCATGGCCAAGTTCACGCAGGTCCACATCTTCAGCCCCTGCCTGCTGAATGCTGTCCTTGCATAGCATGGGGAAGGTGCCAGGTGGACCTGGCGCACTGATGCTGGGGGTCCAGGACGGTACTGCGCCACCTGGTGGGCAAACCTGCCAGACTCTGTGAACACCGTAATGGCCCCACTGTAGCACTTGCTGGCTTGGACTCTTAAAATCTGAGTATTGGTTTTTCAGAAGCCATTATTTTTGTGTATGTTAAGCTGGGCTTAACTGGTAATGTGTCAGATGATCACCATGTACACCTTCTATTGTTGGAACAACTTTTTGTCACATGTTTGACCCATGGTTTAATTCACTTTGGCGATATTTGTTTGGTGTTTTAAATCTATGTTCATGTGTGAGATTTGTCAGGAATTTTCCTTTCTTTTTCTGTGTTTCCCTGGTCTGAGTAATAACCAGTCTTAGAAAATAAGTTAGAAATGGTTCTTCTTTCCATAACCACTGGAGTAGCTGCTGAAGGCTTTGATGTACTTGCTGTGTGTGATGGGTGGAGCCTGCAGGTGAGGCTGAGTGTGGTTATACGGAGGGAGGTTTTCTCGCAGTTTGGTGCTTCCGTCTCTTCTCATGTCAGGAGTTTGTTTACTGAGCTAAGCTTGGAAATTTGTTGATATTTATTGCTCATGATATCCCTTTATTAACTTGTCAGTGTCGGGGGTGCCTTGTAGTGATGTGGCATTTATCATTTTGGTATTGATTATGTATGCTTTCTCTTACCAGCTTTGTCAAAGAAGCAGCTTTGAGGTTTGATCCTGCAGGAATTGAAACAGCTGCAGAAGAGAAATCACTGCTTTTTCTCTTCTGGCCAGCAGGCGTGACTGCCTGGTTTGCTGTATCTCTTCCCACAGGCCACTATTTTTTCCTGAACCACTTGAAAGATGTGGGCATCATGACATTGAGAGTGAGGATGTCCTTCTACCTAAATACAGCCAGTTCTGTGGTATTAATTCTATTCTGCAATGACACTTAATGTAGAGTCCATGTTCATACTTTCCCAGCTGTCCCAAAGATGTACATTAACAAGCATTTTCCACTTGTTCATTCTGTTTTCTATCCAGGCCTGCCAGGGTTCACATGCTGCACTCACCCCTGAGGCTTGCAGAGTGGCCTTGATGTAGATCAGTCTGCTTGTCTTTGTTTTCTTTCTCAGCATGCACATTTTTTAAAAGTGAAATTTCACTTTATTGTTTTCATTTGCTAAGTTACATATTGTTTTTTTAAAAACTTGGTTTTTAAAGCATTTTTAGTTTTACAGAAAAATTGAACAGCCCACAGAATTCACACAGGTCTCTGGTTTTCTTCTATTAGGAATGTCATGCTTGTTTGTTTTACATTTGTTACAATCGATGAACCATTATTGATACATTGTTATTCACTTTGTTCATGATGTATGCTAAGGCTCCTTCTTGGTGTTGAATATCCTGCGGGTTTTGCCACATATGTGGTGTTGTGAATCTGGCATTATAATACCAT